GGGATTTTTCCTCATTTTTTGTCTGTCATAGTTGACGTGTACCTATGATGAAAATTACAGGCCTCTCTCATCTTTTTAAGTGGGAGAACTTGCACAATTGGTGGCTGACTAAATACTTTTTTTCCCCACTGTATCTGTTTTCGGGTTGTCACACAAAATCAAATCAAAAACACATGAGGAAAGCATATAGAGAAGGCCTTTCTATAAGAGAAAAGAAAGCATGTGTGGGCAGCAGTAGATTTTAATGACCGAAGGGTGTTATGATCTAATTGACAATGTTCCAACTCCATTGATACAGATGATTTAATGCAAGTCTGGCTCAGCTAACTGTCTAATTAATATACGATACATGCTCAATATTGAACCATGAGTCCCTCTCCCTTCCTCTGCTGTTCTTTCTCCTTCAGGATGTTCACATACTTATAATGAGAGATGTTCTGCACATAGAGGTGGCGAAAGAAACCCCCTATTCATTTAAAGTGTTACAGTGCCGTACAGTTAATGAGAATTTATGCCTCATGAAATTGCCCTCACCTCCTTTACAATTGTAATTAACAATCTAACTATTTAGACTAACATATTTAGACTACTATTTACTATCTAACAATTGTCAGAGTGGGCGGGTTTAACACTCATTGGAGAAATGAAATTGTGAGGAGTTCTGGAATATAGGATGTAAGTGGAGAGAATGAAGAAGCGTGAAACAGCACCACCCCAGCTGTCAGAGAGAGAGAGAGAGAGAGAGAGAGAGAGAGGAGAGAGATACCATCTCTATCTTCCTACCTGGGCCACATTGATGTATTTGGTGATGACCTCAGCGCGGTGTTGGGGTGTCAGCTTACTGAGCACCATGAGCTGAACCCACTGGGACACTCCGTTGAACAGGGCGATGGAGCGCTCCAGCGTTGGGTTGTCCACCACACATCCGTGCATCACATAGCTTTGGTAGTCTGTGAACTGGGTATGGCGGTTGGAGAAAGAGAGAGTTAGTGTACGTGGTACAGTGGGGGAAAAAAGTATTTAGTCAGCCACCAATTGTGCAAGTTCTCCCACTTAAAAAGATGAGAGAGGCCTGTAATTTTCATCATAGGTACACGTCAACTATGACAGAGAAATTGAGATTTTTTTTTTCAAGAAAATCACATTGTAGGATTTTTTATGAATTTATTTGCAAATTATGGTGGAAAATAAGTATTTGGTCACCTACAAACAAGCAAGATTTCTGGCTCTCACAGACCTGTAACTTCTTCTTTAAGAGGCTCCTCTGTCCTCCACTCGTTACCTGTATTAATGGCACCTGTTTGAACTTGTTATCAGTATAAAAGACACCTGTCCACAACCTCAAACAGTCACACTCCAAACTCCACTATGGCCAAGACCAAAGAGCTGTCAAAGGACACCAGAAACAAAATTGTAGACCTGCACCAGGCTGGGAAGACTGAATCTGCAATAGGTAACATTTTTACATTTTAGTCATTTAGCAGACGCTCTTATCCAGAGCGACTTACAGTTAGTGAATACATATATATATATTTTTTTCATACTGGTCCCCCGGGGGAATTGAACCCACAACCCTGGCGTTGCAAACGCCATGCTCTATCAACTGAGCTACATCCCTGACGGCCATTCCCTCCCCTACCCTGGACAACTGTGCGCTGCCCATGAGTCTCCCGGTCGCGGCCGGCTGCGACAGAGCCTGGATTCGAACCAGGATCTCTAGTGGCACAGCTAGCACTGCAATGCAGTGCCTTAGACCACTGCGCCACTCAGGAGACTAAGCAGCTTGGATTGAAGAAATCAACTGTGGGAGCAATTATTAGGAAATGGAAGACATACAAGACCACTGATAATCTCCCTCGATCTGGGGCTCCACGCAAGATCTCACCCCGTGGGGTCAAAATGATCACAAGAACGGTGCGCAAAAATCCAAGAACCACACGGGGGGGACCTAGTGAATGACCTGCAGAGAGCTGGGACCAAAGTAACAAAGCCTACCATCAGTAACACACTATGCCGCCAGGGACTCAAATCCTGCAGTGCCAGACGTGTCCCCCTGCTTAAGCCAGTACATGTCCAGGCCCGTCTGAAGTTTGCTAGAGTGCATTTGGATGATCCAGAAGAGGATTGGGAAAATGTCATATGGTCAGATGAAACCAAAATAGAACTTTTTGGTAAAAACTCAACTCGTCGTGTTTGGAGGACAAAGAATGCTGAGTTGCATCCAAAGAACACCATACCTACTGTGAAGCATGGGGGTGGAAACATCATGCTTTGGGGCTGTTTTTCTGCAAAGGGACCAGGACGACTGATCCGTGTAAAGGAAAGAATGAATGGGGCCATGTATCGTGAGATTTTGAGTGAAAACCTCCTTCCATCAGCAAGGGCATTGAAGATGAAACGTGGCTGGGTCTTTCAGCATGACAATGATCCCAAACACACCGCCCGGGCAACGAAGGAGTGGCTTCGTAAGAAGCATTTCAAGGTCCTGGAGTGGCCTAGCCAGTCTCCAGATCTCAACCCCATAGAAAATCTTTGGAGGGAGTTGAAAGTCCGTGTTGCCCAGCGACAGCCCCAAAACATCACTGCTCTAGAGGAGATCAGCATGGAGGAATGGGCCAAAATACCAGCAACAGTGTGTGAAAACCTTGTGAAGACTTACAGAAAATGTTTGACCTGTGTCATTGCCAACAGAGGGTATATAACAAAGTATTGAGAAACTTTTGTTATTGACCAAATACTTATTTTCCACCATAATTTGCAAATAAATTCATAAAAAATCCTACAATGTGATGAGTGTTGAGGAAAGTCACACACAGGGGTTAGATAGGGATGAAAGGACCCCAGCAGGTGGATCGGTTCTCAGGGCAAGTGTCTTTTTCCACCAGGGACACTCACTGATATCCTCCTGATGGACTTGTACTCCAGGAACGTGAGGTGTTCAGCCAGCTCCATGGGCTCTAGGTGGTCAAAGAGGAGTGAGGCTTTGCCCTTCTTGGCCTGCTTCTTCCTCTGGGTCAGCTTTCTCATCCAGTCATATGATGGGCTAGAACGAAATACACACAATCTGTTGAAACTTGAAACTCTCTAGTGACTGTGTGTGTGTGCTTGTGTGACCGTCCTTGGGTAGTCCCTCACATGGTGGAGATGTCAATGAGTTTGTTGTGTTCCTCACAACCCAGCTGAGCCGCCACGTCTCTGAACTCCTCAGTGAGGCGGATAAGGCCCAGGTCCAGGTTAAACTCTGCAGGGAACACCGTAATCCAGTACCTGACACACACACACACACACACACACACACACACACACACACACACACACACACACACACACACACACACATGAATGGCTGATTTAGCACTAAAAAAGTATTCAGACCCCTTGACTTTTTCCAAATGTTCTTACGTTACAGCCCTATTCTGAAATGGATTAAATAAAATGTTTCCTCATCAATCTACACACAATACCCCATAATGACAAAGTGAAAACAAGTTGTTTGACATTGTTGCAAATTTATTAAAAATAAAAAACAGAAATACCTTATTTACATAAGTATTCAGACCCTTTGCTATGAGACTCGAATTTGAGATCAGGTGCATCCTGTTTCCATTGATCATCCTTGAGATGTTTCTAGAACTTGATTGGAGTCCACCTGTGGTAAATTCAATTGAGTGGACATGATTTGGAAAGGCACACACCTGTCTATATAAGGTCCCACAGTTGACAGTGCATGTCAGAGCAAAAACCAAGACATGAGGTCGAAGGAATTGTCTATAGAGCTCCGAGACAGGAATGTGTCGAGGCACAGATCTGGGGAAGGGTACCAACACATTTCTGCAGTATTGAAGGTCCCAAAGGCACCCAAATGACTCTCAGACCATGAGAAACAAGATTCTCTGTTCTGATGAAAACAAGATTGAACTCTTTCGCCTGAATGCCAAGCGTCATGTCTGGAGGAAACCTGGCACCATCCATACGGTGAAGCACGGTGGTGGCAGCATCATGCTGTGGGGATGTTTTTTAGCAGCAGGGACTAGGAGACTAGTCAGGATCGAGGGAAAGATGAACGGAGAAAAGTACAGAGAGATCCTTGATGAAAACCTGATCCAGAGTGCTCAGGACCTCAGACTGGGCCGAAGGTTCACCTTCCAACAGGACAACGACACTAAGCACACAGCCAAGACAACGCAGGAGTGGTTCGTGACAAGTCTCTGAATGTCTTTGAGGGGCCAGCCAGAGCCCGGACTTGAACCCGATCGAACATCTCTGGAGAGACCTGAAAATAGCTGTGCAGCGATGCTCCCCATCCAACCTGACAGAGCTTGAGAGGATCTGAAGAGATGAATGGGAGAAACTCCCCAAATACAGGTGTGCCAAGCTTGTAGCATCATACCCAAGAAGACTCGAGGCTGTAATCGCTGCCAAAGGTGCTTCAACAACGTGCTGAGTAAAGGGTCTGAATACTTATGTAAATGTCATATTTCTACAACTTGTTTTTGCTTTGTCATTATGGGGTATTGTGTATAAATTGATGAGGGGAAAAAAACAATTTAATCAATTTTAGAATAAGGCTGTAACGTAACAAAATTTGGAAAAGTGAAGGGGTCTGAATACTTTCCGAATGCACTGTATGTTGCAGTTATACAATATGTTTACTGTTAGCATGTGTACATTATGTCCGGACAGTCTGACTGAACATCATAGCGCATAGCTCCAAGCAGCAGTGCCTGTAGAATATGAATGATTCACAATGATATCATAGTCTCAGAGGGCAAAGGCAGAGTTGAGGGTACTGATCCTGCACAAGAACTGCCGTGGGCTCCTTGCTCAGTGATTTGTAGTGTGATGTGGCTAATGGGAGTGGTGAGAATGGCAAGTCTAGCAAACATAGTCAGAAACGTGGCCTAGATTTTATCAACCCAACAAATCATGTTTCCCTAATATGGAAATAACAAATGAATACAGAGAACCATTAACAAGATAATGGCCATTGTGGTATTCCCCCTTCAGATTCAAATTAACTGCAAAATAACATGAACTTTAATATGGCCCCTCCTTACAGTAGTTAACATTATATTCAGATTATTTATTTAGTCTCTGAATTTCATATAAAGGTTGCACACAAAATAATAGGACAGATGGATTGGCAGACAGTGGTGGAGAATTACTTTAAAGGGGTTACCAGTGAAATAAGGGTCTGTGTATTCTGTTAAAGATTACCTGAGGACGTTTTGGGGTAAATAATGGATCACAAGACTCCTGATTCACTAAATGCTTTCGCCCCAAGCAATATCTCCACTTTAGATGGCAGGCAGCGGTCCACGTCTCATGAGGACAGCCACTGGCTGTCATTTTTAATGACATCTTCTCATCCCTCATTGCACCAGCCAGTCAGTCACAGAGCCCCGAGAGAGGAGCACACAACCTGCACTGCATTTTCAGCCTAGCAATACAAAACATCTTCAATACTGAAGAGCTCAGAAACTCATGGGTATGTAGTAGTGTTTTATTTACCTCATTAAATAGCAGATCTTCAGTCTCGTTCTTTGGCACTCATCTCCATGGCAGTCACGGTACGTGGGGTTGTGTCAAGGATAGTTTAGCACTTTTTGGAGACAGTGTCCGAAGCCCTATTACAAATGGACACACATTCCAAATTTCCAACAACCCCCCTCCCCCAAAAATATAACAATAAAACAACATCTTTCACAAGAAGCAGCTGTATATTTATCAGTTGGACAAAATGTCTCCTCTAATGAAGAATAACTCAAGTGTTCAAAAAGGAATGCCCAGTATGTGGAAATATAAAAACAATGAAAGGTCTGGCCATGTAATGAATCTCTCCACCAATGAATGTGTGCATTTTCTAAATAATTGTCACTTGGCCAATGTTTTACGTCCTTGAACCGTTGAAATATACAGGTAACTGCCAAAATAAAGGAAACACGTGAGTAAATGAGGGATACAAAGCATATTGAAAGCAGGTGCTTCCACACAGGTGGGTTTCCTGAGCTAATTAAGCATTTAACATCCCATCATGCTTAGGGTCATGTATAAAAAATTCCCTGAATTTTACAACTCTAACCATGGCTAGAAGAAGAGATCTCAGTGACTTTGAAAGAGGGGTCTCAAAAGGAGCATAGGGGGTTTAAAGATGAGGGTGTCGCATTCCTCCAATAGAGTTCCAGACACCTGTAGAATCTATGCCAAGACGCATTGAAGCTGTTCTGGTGGCTCGTGGTGGCCCAACGCCCTATTAAGACACTTTATGCTGGTGTTTCCTTTATTTTGGCAGTTACCTGTAGATCTTAGAAGTAGTTTTGGAGAGGCCTTGGGCGTGGAGCCAGGTCTGCAGCGTAGCCTTTCTATATCACTTTCAAAAGGAACTCAGCTGTTTCTCTGCCAAGGATATAGTCACAACCATGCAGCAGAGCAGGCTAACCCCTGCCTTCTCTGTGGTACTATGAAACTCTCCCAGCATGGAGGGTCAGGATGGATGCTTAATGGATGTATACATGACTGTGGAAAACACACACAATCAATTGGTCTCGCCTTCTCTCAAGACGACTGAAAAATATTCTCATGGGCTAACTCACAAACAAGGAGGCGAATAAATGTAGGAGCTAAAATACATCTCTCAGCAACAGCTGAAGGACAACGATAAGTACTGTATATTTTGTTGGATTAATGAAAAAGCAAAAAGTGAGAGGAAGGGCAGAATAGTGCCTTTGTATTCTGTCATATGAAAGAGGCTCTCTGCTCTGGCTCTCCTCTGAGGCAGCTTCATACTGCATGGAGAAGGTAAGATTTTCCGCAAACTGGTCCCAGGGGGCCAGTATGAAAAATTTATGCACTCACTAATTGTAAATCGCTCTGGATAAGAGCGTCTGCTAAATGACTAAAATATAAATGTAAATTATATTTCACTTCCCATACGGTGAGGTTAGGATTGGAGGTAGGGTAATCGCTAATCTGACTCTAGATCTGCAGTTAGGGGCATCCTCCATCTGGAGCACCACAGCCATTACTCCAACCACAAGCAGGGAAAAGATGGGGTTCATCAGTCATCAGTGGAGAGGCCTGACACTAGGCATTGTAATATCTCAGGGTGTCTTTCCAGAAGCAAAGATATCAAAGCACTTAGTGGTATGGCGTCTCCAGGAAAACACTGTCCAGGACCCTGCTAACTGAATCAGATTAAAATGCACAGTCATGGCACACTAGATAAAAATCACAAAGAGGAATGGAATGCTAACAGCTATCGATTCGATCCAGGTTGCACTTCCTTTTGAAGTGGTTCTTTATCTCTAACATTGCTCTCAAATGCATTTGCACTTAACATGTCTTATTCTTCCTGTTTTGTCCCATGGAATAAATATTGTGGATCTAAATGTTTTCCTCATAACCCTGGACTATCGGACCACCATCTTATTACGTTTGCAATTGCAACAAATAATCTGCTCAGACACCAACCAAGGACCATCAAAAGCCATGCTATAAATTATCGGACAACCCAAAGATTCCTAGAGGCCCTTCCAGACTCTCTCCACCTACTCAAGGATGACAGAATACAAAAATCAGTTAACGACCTAACTGGGGATCTAAATGTAACCTTGCATAATACCCTAGATGCAGTCGCACCCCTAAAAACAAAAAATATTTGTCACAAGAAACTAGCTCCCTGGTATACAGAAAATACCCAAGCCCTGAAGCAAGCTTCCAGAAAATTGGAACGGAAATGGCGCTCCACCAAACTGGAAGTCTTCCTACTAGCTTGGAAAGAATATACAGTGCAATATCGAAGAGCCCTCACTGCTGCTCGATCATCCTACATTTATTTTTGACTATGTTGAACATAATAAATGGCTCCCTATCCTCCGGATGTGTACCAAACTCACTAAAAGTGGCAGTAATAAAACCTCTCTTGAAAAAGCCAAACCTTGACCCAGAAAATGAAAAAAACTATCGGCCTGTATCGAATCTCCCATTCCTCTAAACATTTTTTGAAAAAGCTGTTGTGCAGCAACTCACTGCCTTCCTGAAGACAAATAATGTATACGAAACGCTTCAGTCTGGTTTTAGTCCCCATCATAGCACTGAGACTGCACTGGTGAAGGTGGTAAATGACCTTTTAATGGCGTCAGACCAAGGCTCTGCATCTGTTCTCGTGCTCCTAGACCTTAGTGCTGCTTTTGACACCATCAATCACCACATTATTTTGGAGAGATTGGAAACCTTAATTGGTCTACAAGGACAAGTTCTTGCCTGGTTTAGATCTTATCTGTCGGAAAGATATCAGTTTGTCTCTGTGGATGGTTTGTCCTCTGACAAATCAATTGTATGTTTTGGTGTTCCTCAAGGTTCTGTTTTAGGACCACTATTGTTTTCACTATATATTTTACCTCTTGGTGATGTCATTCGGAAACACAATGTTAACTTTCATTGCTATGCGGACGACACACAGCTGTACATTTCGATGAAACATGGTGAAGCCCCAAAATTGCCTACCCTGGAAGCCTGTGTTTCAGATATAAGGAAGTGGATGGCGGCAAATGTTTTACTTTTAAACTCGGACAAAACAGAGATGCTAGTTCGAGGTCCCAAGAAACAAAGAGATCTTCTGCTGGATCTGTCAATTAATCTTGATGGTTGTACAGTCGTCTAAAAAAAAAATGTGAAGGACCTCGGCGTTACTCTGGACCCTGATCTCTCTTTTGACGAACATATCAAGAATATATATATCAGAAACTTTTTGTCCAAAAATGATGCAGAAAAGCTAATCCATGCTTTTGTCACTTCTAGATTAGACTACTGCAATGCTCTACTCTCCGGCTACCCTGATAAAGTACTAAATAAACTTCAGTTAGTGCTAAACACGGCTGCTAGAATCTTGACTAGAACCCCAAAATGTGATCATATTACTTCAGTGCTAGCCTCTATACACTGGCTTCCTGTTAAGGCTAGGGCTGAATTCAAGGTTTTACTGCTAACCTACAAAACATTACATGGGCTTGCTCCTACCATCTCTCCGATTTGGTCCTGCCGTATATACCTACACGTACGCTACGGTCACAAGACGCAGGCCTCCTTATTGTCCCTAGAATTTCTAAGCAAACAGCTGGAGGCAGAGCTTTCTCCTATAGAGCTTAATCTTTATGGAATGGTCTGCCTATCCATGTGAGAGACGCAGACTCAGTCTCGACCTTTAAGTCTTTACTGAAGACTCATCTCTTCAGTAGGTCCTATGATTGAGTGTAGTCTGGCCCAGGGGTGCGACAAACCGCCCTTGCTGTCTCTGCCTGGCCGGTTCCCGTCTCTCCATTGGGATTCTCTGACTCTTACCCTATTACGGGGGCTGAGTCACTGGCTTACTGGTGCTTTTAATGCCGTCCCTAGGAGGGGTGCGTCACTTGAGTGGGTTGAGTCACTGACGTGATCTTCCTGTCCAGTTTGTCGCCCCTATTACGGGGGCTGAGTCACTGGCTTACTGGCTTACTGGTGCTTTTCATGCCGTCCCTAGGAGGGGTGTGTCACTTGAGTGGGTTGAGTCACTGACGTGATCTTCCTGTCCAGTTTGTCGCCCCCTCGGGCTCGTGCAGTGGAGGAGATCTTTGTGGGCTATACTCAGCCTTGTCTCAGGGTAGTAGGTTGGTGGTCTGTTGATATTCCTCTGGTGGTGTGGGGGCTGTGCTTTGGCAAAGTGGGTGGGGTTATATCCTGCCTGGTTGGCCCTGTCCGGGGTTATCGTCGGACGGGGCCACAGGGTCTCCCGACCCCCCCTGTCTCAGCCTCCAGTATCTATGCAGCAATAGTGTATGTGCCGAGGGGCTAGGGTCAGTCTGTTATATCTGGTGTTATTCTCCTGTCTTATCCGGTGTCCTGTGTGAATTTAAGTATGCTCCCTCTAATTCTCTCTCTCTCCTTCTCTCCCTCCCCTCCCGGAGGACCTGAGCCCTAGGACCATGCCTCAGGACTACCTGGCCTGATGACTCCTTGCTGTCCCCAGTCCACTTGGTCGTGCTGCTGCTCCAGTTTCAACTCTTCTGCCTGTGGCTATGGAACCCTGACCTGTTCCCCGGACGTGCTACCTTGTCCCAGATCTGCTGTCTTCAACTCTCTCTCTCTACCGCACCTGCTATTTCAACCTCTAAATGCCCGGCTATGAAAAGCCAACTGACATTTACTCCTGATGTACTGACCTGTTGCAACCTCTACAACCACTGTGATTATTATTTGACCCTGCTGGTCATTTATGAACGTTTGAACATCTTGAAGAACAATCTGGCCTTAAAATGGCCATGTACTCTTATAATCTCCACCCGGCACAGCCAGAAGAGGACTGGCCAACCCTC